TCATAACTTTCCTTTCAAGGAGTAAGCATCTTTTAATTTCATGGCTGCAATCACCATCTGCAGTGATTTTGGAGCCCCCCAAAATAAAGTCTGACACTGTTTCCACTGTCTCCCCATCTATTTCCCATGAAGTGATGGGACCAGATGCCATGCTTTTAGTTTTCTGAATGTTGAACTTTAAGCCAACTTTTTCACTCTCCTCTTTCACTTTCATCAAGAGGCTCTTTAGTTCCTCTTCACTTTCTGCCAAAAGGGTGGTGTCATCTGCATATCTGAGGTTATTGATATTTCTCCCGGCAATCTTGATTCCAGCTTGTGCTTCCTTCAGCCCAGCATTTCTCATGATGTACTCTGCATATAAGTTAAATAAGCAGGGTGACAATATACAGCCTTGACGTACTCCTTTTCCTATTTGGAAGCAGTCTGTTGTTCCATGTCCAGTTCTAACTGTTGCTTCCTGACCTGCATACAGGTTTCTCAAGAGGCAGGTCAGGTGGTCAAGGCCGATCATAGAGATGTGTAAAAAGTACAAAGGGAGTAGGAGGTACATCCTTCCAGAAGATTGGCAGGATTCTCAGAGGAAAGATCTCTTTGAGTAGACCTTTGTATTAAGGGGCCCAGATTATTAATGATCTTATGCAGATGACACCACCCTTATGGCAGAAAGTGAAGAAGAACTAAAGAGCCTCTTGATGAAAGTGAAAGAGGAGAGTGAAAAAGTTGGCTTAAATCTCAACATTCAGAAAACTAAGATCATGGCATCTGGTCCCATCACTTCATGGCAAATAGATGGGGAAACAGGAAACAGTGGCTGACTTTATTTTGGGGGGCTCCAAAATCACTGCAGATGTTGATTGCAGTCATGAAATTAAAAGATGCATAGTCCTTGGAAGGAAAGTTGTGACCAACCTAGACAACATATTAAAAAGCAAAGACATTACTTTGCCAACAAAGTCCGTCTAGTCAAGGCTATGGCTTTTCCAGTGGTCATGTATGGATGTGAGAGTTGGACTATAAAGAAAGCTGAGCACCAAAATTGATGCTTTTGAACTGTGGTGTTGGAGAAGACCCTTGAGAGTCTCTTGGACTGCAAGGAAATCCAACCAGTCCATCCTAAAGGAAATCAGTCCTGGGTGTTCATTGGAAGGACTGATGCTGAAGCTGAAACTCCAATATTTTGGCCACCTGATGTGAAGAGCTGACTCATTTGAAAAGACCCTGATGCTGGGAAAGATTGACGGCAGCAGGAAAAGGGGATGACAGAGGTTGAGATGGTTGGATGGCATCATCGACTCAATGGACATGGATTTGGGCGTACTCTGGGAGTTGGTGATAGACAGGGAGGCCTGGCGTGCTGCGGTTCATGGGTCGCAAAGAGTCGGACATGACTCAGTGACTGAACTGAACTGAACTTTAGCTTATTCTAAAGAATTGGGCTTTATCCGATGGAAACAGAGGGTCTCAGAAGAATTCTGAACATAGAACTGATATGGTTAGATGTAGCATGGAATGGCCTACACGAGGAGACAGACAATGAAGGCCCATAACATGATGATTTCAATAGTTTAGGGGTTGGGGCGGTAGCAGGGGACATGAAGTGAGATTGCTTGATTGGAAAGATACTTAGAAAACAGAAACGACAGTACCTGGTGGGTGATTGTCCACTGGTGGGTACAGTAGCGAAAGAAAGGGAAGAGCTGAGAATGACTTGAGACTATATAAGAGGTAGTCTAGTACAAAGTTTGGTGTAAAGGGGAGCACATAGTCCATGGAGCCAGACTACTTGGGTTAAAATATTATCACTTCCAACTCACTTACTGTGTAACTTTAATCAAGTTATTTATCCTCTGTGAGCCCCAGTTTTGTATATATGTCAAGTGTTCTTTTGTGTCTAAAAATTAGCTATTATTATTTATTATTATAATTCTGGTTAGGATGGTGGTTTTATTCAGTTTGTTTCTTCCAGAAGACTAGTGTTGCATTGTAATGCTTTTGGGCAATTCTAGGTTTGTCTAGTTGAATATATGGATCTCTGGTTGAGAAGAAAGTACAGTGATGATGGCTAGAGCCTCTTACACCGAGGAAACAGCCTGAGGCATATTCAGAGAAGGCCCAGGGTTTGAATCTCCCAGACGCTAGTGTTTAATGGGTAAGTAGAGTAGGGGCCATGCTGGGAAAGACTGAGGCCAAGAGGAGACGCGGCGACAGGTGAGCTGGTTGGACGGCATCACTGACAGTGACATGATGAGCAAACTCTGGGAGACAGTGAAGGACAGGGAAGCCTCCTAAGGGTCAGACATGACTGAGCGACTGAACAGTAACAGAGGAGGCAAAATTTGCAGAAGCATAACAGAAGGCCAGAGAGGCAGTAGAAGGTAAACAGAAAAGCGATGTCTAAAGCTCAAGAGAAGAAATGATTTTAGAGAGAGTATAGTCAACACAGAAAACACTACATTGGAATCAGTAATTATGATGACTAACAAGCATCTGTATTTAACAATTGGGAAATCTTTAATAAAGTAATTTAAAATTGCTCCTTGATAGCTGACTTATAGAAAAGACTCAAATTTTAGTTTCCATTAGCCTTAATTTTAATTGCATATCTTGAGAAAGAAAAATTAAAAAGAATTAAAAAACAACTAGGCTCCTCTATCCATGGGATTCTCTTGGCTAGAATAATGGAATAGGTTGTTGTCCTCCTCCAGGGGATCTTCCCAACCCAGGGATCAAAACTGCATCTCTTAGGTCTTTACCACTAGTGCCACCTAGGAAGCCCAAACACAAAGGTAATTTACAGGGAAGGATATTTGCACCTTTCCCAAGAAATGCCTTCTGTTACTAAGATTGGTATTATGAAAAAGTCTACTTATTTTGGCAGTGTAGAGTATAAAGCATAAAATGTTGAGTGTTACCACTGGAATCAAGTCCTGACTCTACCACTTATATATACCACACTTATATATACCACTTATATATACCACATACTTATCAAGTATGAGGTCCAGAGAAAATTATTTACTTGTCTAAGCTTCCACTTTCTCAAGTGGGAAATGGAGGACCATTGTCCCGTAGGATTTTGTTGGAACAGGGGAAGATATTGCACATAAGGGATTTAGCACAAGGCCCCTTACAACAAAAGGTAGCTTATGATATTTACCCATCGTGAGTGATCATGAGAAAGTCTGAGAATTGTTTTTAAAGAATAAGAACTTTTGGAAGAATTCAGTTCATTTCAGTTCAGTTCAGTCGCTCAGTCATGTCCGTCTCTTAGCGATCCCACAGACTGCAGGATGCCAGGCCTCCCTATCCATCACCAAGAATTAGTCTTTCCATACACCAACAAAAACCTTTAAGTTCTTTCTAGCAGTGCAGCCTTCCTTGCCCAATCACTGGGAGTCTTCTAGGAGAATCAAGAGCCAGATCCATAATTTCCAAGACACAAGAGTTGAGTAAGCTTTGTGCTTCTCATCAACTGGGGGCTGGCCAACATATTTCTTCATAACCAATAAAATGTATGACTCATCAAACAAAACACCTCAATTTCTATACCCAAAGCAAAGTCACACAATCAACTGCCAAAGACACACAAATGATAATACTAATGGTACATCACAGGTAACATTATCATATCCCCAAATTTTCTAATTAACCTGATATTTCAGAAAGATGATAAAACAAAATATTTTTTAAAATATATTTCTCTTTTACTTTATAATAAATTAAAGAAAATAAATTAATAAAATATACTGAAACTATCTGGGAAAAAGCTCTTGTAAATTCATCATCTTAGTTTCAAAGTCCATGGTAGTGTCTCATTTTGAATTTAAAACTAATAAAATAATCCTAAAAAATGGCCTAATCTGTTATTTACTTTGTATTTTTATGAAAGACTACTACATTTTATTTTTAGCAATATGGTCATTAAAAATATGACTATTCAGGGAAATGGAATCCCAGGAAGTATGATAGTACTATAGATCTTAAGGCCACCAGAGCAGATGTTCCTAATCATACTAAAAACACAAACACACAAACCAGTTTGTTCCAGCTACAGAATTAGAAAAGTGCATATAATTTAACAGTATGAAAAGTAGTTCAAGCCAGGAGGTAGTAAAATTGCAAAAAAATATAAATCTACAGAGTCTGTGCCAAGGAACATTTTACAAATTCTCAAGGCTGAAAAATCAGTTTCTTTTCTTGCTACAAGTAGGAAGTTATTACCTGAATTAGTTTTTAAAAATACAGTGAATATATCTTTAAGGAAAACACACACACACACACACACACACACAACCCACACATGCTCATACACCATATGCACACCAGTTACCTAATAGTTTTTACCCAGAGAAACATCTATCCAAATCTAGAATATCATTTATAAACAGCTTCGGGAAAGTTAAACTTATCATCAGTTTAAATGTATAATTGAGAAACAAATAGTACATAATGTGATACAGAATTAAATTGGCATGCACAGTAAAATGTAAGCTCTAAGGACAGAGGATTCTCTTAGCAAATAATGATCTTGGCCAAGAGCCTCCTTTATGTACAGATAGCTCTATTCCTTGCTTATAGCAACCCTCAAGGTTACAACAGGTCATTACATGCAGCTAATTAGGTTTACAAATGATATATTCAAGCCAGGTGATATTTTATAGCTTGAGTCAACCTAAGTAGAAAGCTGTATTAGTAAGGTCAAACTATAAAAACTCATTATCCCACAATTACTGATCTTTTACTTATATAGTATGAATTTTAACATTACAAATATATAATGCCATTAAAAATTGGTTTGATGCTTACTATCTCTCAAAAATAGCAAAAAGAAAGAAAAAGACAAGTAGGAAAACTTTTGTATACAGATATTCAATGTGTTTATTCTCCCAAAGTTAATTAAAGTCAATTTTGTTAGTAGACTTTAGGTCACAACACTCTTCCAAGAAAGCAAAGTGATATCTATTCTGTATAAAACAGGAAAATCAAATGCAGTACATTACCTTGTGCTACCTGTTGAACGGCCAGCATTATCCCAGAAACAGTATCCGGAAGCAAGTTTTCTTTCAGACTGTAATGTGTCGCCCAGTCCAAAATAGGCAGCCGCCGTCTACACCACTGTTTAAAGTCTTCACAATCGGGGACATGCATCTTGCTCCAGAGTATGCTTTTCTTTTTCCTCTCTGCCCCTGTCATTTTCAGATTACCTCTTGTAGATTAAACTTCTTTATACAAGATAAAAAATTGTTGAAGGTCACCTCCCTTCAATGCCAGACTCCAAATTGTCTGTGGTTTACAATTGTCAAAGCTACCCAGGAAATAATAAAAGAGAGAGATTAACAAAAGCATATATATATATATGTATGTAAATATATATGCAGCCAGGCTGCATGTTTTGTTATGGTATGGCTAATTATTCTGGATAAAAGATGCAGATTAAAACCATGAATTTCTATCTGAATGAGATGGAGAAATGGTACCTGTTAGTGTAATATTTTCTGATCTTGGAAAAGTAGTGGATTCAGTATTAAGTTGATGTAGAGCTCTCTTGCCAGTAATTCCCCTTATACTCACTGTAGTCTGATGTTTTGGCTTATATCCCAGTGGCTAATGAGGTAGCTCTGGGCATGTGTTGTAAGTGGGCTGGGTTATGCTAAAGAAACCAGGAAGCATTCAGCTATCCCTGCATTCTCCCGACAAACCATGCAAAATCATAAAACCAGAGAGGTTTTGTTATGCAAGATGTAGTCAGAGAATCTAGATTTACTTCTTTGGGAAGTGGGTATTTTCAGTATATCAAATGACTGCCATTTCTGAAATATTCAGAAACCTAAGAGGCTTTGCTAAATGCTCTTATCTTTTTCACCCCTGGGAGACGAGCTTTTCATTCACGAGAAACATTCAGACAGCCACTGCCCAGTCTGGCAACAGAATAGCCAGTTCTCATAAAACAGAAATTTCATTTCATGGACTAGGAAAATAAGCTTACAATGAACAATTATTTGTGGCAACATTTCTTCCTTGTCTCTGAAATGTTTACTCAGTTTTTTCTATTTTTCCAAGTCATATAATTCTCACACTCAGCACTATCCTAACTTAAATTTCCAAGGAATAACATACGGTTCATAATATTGTTTGAAGAGTTCCCAACATTTTTTATGATTCTTCCCTCTTTTCATAAAACTTTGGGGGGGGTTCTCTATCTCAGAAAGGATGTTACATTTTATAATAGAATAGTCAGGCTGTCAAAGACCTTGATTTTATGATTGTAAGTCCCAGCCCCGAGAAGAAAGAGCCTGCATTTATGAGACTGTGCCATTTGAATTAAACCAAAAAGCTAATACATTAATAAAAAATGTGAAGCCAAGAAGAATAGCCATGTACATAGTTTGCTGCAGCCCTCTTAATGCCTATTCCTCCAGAGTAGAGATCTGTCTTCTGGAAGTCTTTAAAATAACAAAATATTGCTACTTGGATACCTCGGCTACTTCCAGTGTCTCTGGCTGTAACTTTTCCCATTGTTTGTAACTTAAGGTGAAGAACTACTCTCTCAGTCTTCCACAAATAACATCACTGGCTTTCTATCTGTGCAAAAATACTTTTCTTTTTAAATGCTATGAATCCTAAATATATAGCAATATATGTACAGTTTATTCATATGTACAGAATAGAATTTACTTTGTATTTTTCCAGTTGTTTATACATGTTACATTTATGAACATTGCATGAGATTTAGAGTCTCACCAGAGACTCATAATATTTTAACCCTATCCTTTTAGTGTGAGAGGTAGATTCATCAGATAAGTAAATTCACCTTTAATAGAGATGTTATGTTGCTTTTTCTTCACAAACAGCAATCTAACTTTGTTCTATATACTTCACCCATTACATAAACAAAGAAATTCAGAAGCTATGTATAAAATGAGTATTATTACTTTTAAAATCAAAATTAACACTAATGATTCTTTTTTCAAAATATATTTAGGTTGAGAATTCAAATCCAAGTTAAGAAAATGAAAAAAGTAACTGAAAGCTTAAATACTGAAATAATCAGTCAATACCTATGATTTGTGCAATTTCAATCATGTTAAAAAAATCTTTGTGTTAAATGCTAGTACCAAAGAATTCATATGAACAGAATTTCTGGAATTGAAGATGAATCTATATAGAAACATCTAAGCATAGTAGTGCCAGCAATTGCTCTAAAACATCCAAAGACCAGGAAGGCTCCCCTGGTGGCTCCGTCAAGAATCTGCCCGCAACGCAGGAGACCTGGGTTCGATCCCTAGGTTGGGAAGATCCCTGGAGAAGGGAATGGCAACCACTCCAGTATTCTTGCCTGAAGAACTCCACTGATAGAGGAGACAATTCATGGGATTGCATAAAGTCTGACATGACTGAACGACTAACACTTTCACTTTCATTCCAAGACCAGGGGCGAAAATAATTAGTTTGATAAAATAGTTCTGAAGTCTCTCAATTAAAAAAAAAAAAAAAAACTCCTAACAGTTAGGGTAAATCTTTCCTAAAAATATTTTTTAAATTTCAGGTTTTCTTACAACTCCATGTGCTTTGACATTATTTAAAACATGCCAAAATCTCACTCTAAAGCACGCTATCAAGTGTAGAATTAATTATAATCAGCAACTCAAAAAAAACTTTTATGAAGAAATTTATGCACACCCACGAGACTCTCAGAGCACTTTACCTAGCCTGTAAAATTCAAAGCTAAATATATTTATTCAAAAATTTCAATGGCTAAAATTAGCTTAAAATTCAGTGCTACATGTCATCTATATGAGACATCTCTTCCCAAATGTTCAGGCAACAGCTAAACAAATAAAAACATGAACTTATTATCTCCACATAAAACAACAAAAAAAATTCTCCTTCCTAAAATGTTTTAATCGTGTCTCTGACATGTTTGAACTTCCAGTGATTTCTCATATTACACTCAAACTCTTTAGTGTAAACATGTTATCCTTCCTCCACTTCTCCACCCCTTCTCTACTAGCTACTTATCGACTCTATTTAAATTAGCAAGTATTTATTGTTCAATCACATTTTGCTAGATCACGTGAAATGCAATAGAAGGATGGGGGCAGAGAAGATATTGTCTATTTTCTAAGGATTATTTAGTGGAGGTTATAGAAAAAAAGCAGAATATAACAAATTAACAGTCAAGTCAGACAATAAGCGTTATGGGAGCTCAGGATGGAGAGTTGCATTCCCACCGAGAACAAGCATTTCCCATCCAGCCTGTACTCTAGCAGATTCGTATACTCAACATCTGCTGCACACTGACTCTCCGGTTTTATACAGATTTCCCTAGTTCCACGTTCCTAGTTGTTTCCCTGTCTGAACACTTGCTCCGTAAGTAACCTTTCCGTGAAAATTCCCCTGGCTTCCCTACAGTTCCGTTCTTCCTATACACCAAATGTCTAGGTAACCTTTGGGTTATCCATAGGTGCACAGCTGTAGTCACTTTCACTGTAACTGATTTTCTTGCTTAAAATTTACTGTGTGTGGTTTTATCCAGTTTGGCTCATCAGACTGTCAATTACTTGAGTGTAGATATTATTCACATAACTTGCTTTGCCTCTTTCCTCAAGATCTAATGGAAGGTTCTGCAGACATAGGATCCACTCAGCAATTATTAACACATGCATATCCCTACTCGCGAAATTACCAGAGAATCATTTACTCTATCTCAACCTAGTTTCCAGGTTGTGCTCTTAAAGAATCAAGAAAGTAGGTAGAGACAGAAAGACAGAGATAGTAGTGGAAAAAACAAGGAGAGATTCTGTCTTTACTTGCTCAAATTTTCCCTATTCTTTCACAATTATAAGGAAAATTCTATCTTTCCAGAGTAATTATAAAAAAAATAAATTTAAAAAATTAAAATTTAAACACATAAAATAAAATAATGAAAATTATGAGCTGAACCAGGTACAAATGAAGAAAAATGTTGAAGAAAAACATTTCAAGAAACATTGTACACTATAAACTGGATCGTATTTCATAGTTTTTGAGAGACACTTATTAAACTGAAACTCTTCTCATATTACTTTTGATTGTAACATTATGCTTCTTTGAATGTGGTCTTTGTGGAGAGCAGGATACCTAAAGTAGTGATTTATATTCAGGTTACACTCAGAAATGTAGACTCATAAATCTCAGAGGGCATTAACTCCAAATTCATGTCTACTTTAGAAAGTTGATCTACAGCATTTCTAATAAGAGGACCTCGCAAGAGGTTCCCATCTGAGTAGGTAAGTAGCAGCTGAAACTAATCCATGGTCCACTGTCATGTAACTGGCATGGGGATACATCAATACAGAGGGAGCAAACTTTATTAAGTCATGCACTAGATAGGGTACCTTTCTCCCAATTTACCTAAAATGTCTTATAGGTTGACACAGCCCTGAATCCAACCTATGTTTTAATTCTTCCAATGACTGTAATTGGCAAGTTTAGAAAAATAACTCATTCCAATTTTCAGACACCCTAATTTTTAGAACATTATTTCTAATTACTGAGCCAATATCTGCCATTTAAAATGTCCACTCTTCAGTCTTTATCCTAATCCCTGTGACATGCACAACAGTTCAGGACTGATTCGTTTAGTGCTTTCCCTAAAAAGCTCTGATTTTTGGTGGTGCTGTTTTAGAAATACTGAGACATTTAAATGTGCTGCACATATATGTCAATTACAGTCCTAAACAGTGCATTTCACGTTTTATTCATGAGAGGCCCATCATTTTAGTAGGGGGAACAAAATTCTATTCTTTCAGTGTTGATTGCTCATACAACTTACTTTGTTTTCTTTGAATTAAATAACACTTTCCAGTCTGTTTCTTTAACATGTTTTTCCTTCTGCCATTATTTTGTGACTTATTTTGACTCATAATAGGGGTCAAAAGGAGATAGTTTTCGTGAAGTGAAAAAAATCACTTGTACTTTCAAGTGTGTATTTACAAGGATCCAAAGCATTTTCAGAGAAAAAGGAGGGAATCGGCAGGGAGCAAAGAGAGGGAGGCAGGACAGAAGGTGTTTGGACTGCATGTTTGCGTCCCCCTAATATTCTTATGATGAAACCCTAACAGCCAATGAGATGGTATTAGAAGTTGGGGCTTTTGTGAAATAATTCGTTTTATACACAGTCTTGAGGGTGGAGACCACAGTTGGATTAGTAT